TGTGGGGAGCCAAGCTGAGAGCAGGGCGAGGATGGACCTAGGGGCTTGTCTGCGAGCAGGCGGGGTTTGGACCTGCAGCTCCCCGCCGCCTGAGCTTTGCCTTCACCATCAGCCTTTCTTTGCTCGCGGATGCATGATCTGAAATGGAGGCGTCCGTCCGTCTCTGAACCGAGGAGCGGAGCTAGGGAAGGGAGGGCAGGAGCCTTCTTCAGAGGGGCCAAGCACCGAATTACTGGCAGTGCCTGGGGAGCCGTACATTAAATCGTGATGCTCCCCTGACCCTCGGCTACCAGCTGCCCTCCCTTTTCACCCTTTCCCTTTCTCTATCTGGCTTATTCTGCGAGGGGAGGATTTCTTTCAAAACGCACAGTGAGGGCTTTGAGGAGACGTGTTCAAGGCAATCCTGCATGGCCAGCACCAGCGTGTCGGTGGGTTGGGGCTCTTTGGGGGTCAATTGTAACCGCAGGGCTGGCAGAGAGCGGGTGCAGGCGCACACATGCCCATTGCAGGAGGTGGGGGGGTGGTTTTGACCTTTCCAGCTTCTGCCGGAGTGTGTTCATGCAAGCCCTGCCTCCTCGCACACTTAACCCTGCACAAAGGCAGGAGACAATCACGTCCCCAAGTCCTGCGTCGAGCTGCCTCGCGGCGAGGGGGCCCTTGCAATGAGAGTGTCGTCATCTTCCAGCGGGAAAGGAGACTGGGAGAGGTGCGCTCGCGAAGGAGGGGAGAGGATGGAATGGGGAAAGCTGTGCCGGGGAAGGAAGCGAGACACTGGAAAACAGGCCCTTTGTTGGCTTTGACATTAGCTGTGGAGGTCTGGGTTGGTTTTTTCCCTTCTTTGTTGTTCGAAGCCCGCTGCCCAGCTGGCAACCCCGTTCGCCCGGTGCTGTCGCTGGGTGCGGAGCTGGCGGCCAGGACGCTGGGACCCGGCTGCCTTGTTTGCCTGGGCTCAGCACCCTGCCGTGCCGTAGCACCTTGCTGCTGCGGGAGGGCAGCAGTAGCACCTGGGTGGGTGCCCCGAGGGCCGGCGTCCAAGGAGGGAGGGCTGCTCTGCCTGCCTACGAGCTTTATGGTCCCTTTGGGGGAGGCTTGTTCCCCCTAAATTGCAAGGCAAGGGACACTTCTGCTTGCCTGTGAGCCATGTGTTCTCAGCTCAGCCCCATGTCGCAGGCGGGGAAGAACTGGGCTGTCACAGACCAGTGCCTTTCCAGGGGGACTGACAGCCTCAAAACTGACCCCAGCTCCTCACAGACGTATGGGCACCTATGGCTGCTAAAAACTGCTCTTGGCTGCCAAGGATGCAAGACAGTGGGGTGGTGGGGCCATGGCCATGGCCAGCAGCACTGTGTGAGATCAGGGCATTGCAGGAGGCTGGCATCATGTGGACTTTAAACTGTTCCAGACCGGTTTCACTGGGCCAGGCTGGTGACAACGGTGGAGGCTCAGCCACACGCAGCTGTGGCTGCTGCTTTGCCCCTGTTCTCCTCGAGCTCTTTATGCACAGCTCCCCTCGGTCTGCAGCCCAGGAGCTTGCCCTGGTGAGGGGACCAGTTTGTCCGAGATGTCTCACCTGAAATCCCAGCCTGGCAGGGAACGCCCGCTGGCGCACATTTGTCCTGACTTCTGTGTCTGAACACATCAGAGCCATCTTTTCAAGCCGGGTCAGGGTCCCGGGGCTGCCCTGGCCTTCACAACTTGCATGCCTCTCTCTTGAGAAGTCGGATCTCAGGAGCTTCCTCCTCTGCTAGGTCCATCACAGCTGGAGGTGCTGACCACAGAGTCAGGATGGGAGACTTAAGGATTGCTGTTCCTGGTTAGGGAATGGTTGTGGAGTCTTCGTGGTTATTATATTGTAGTCCGTGTCTTTAGAGCTACCGGGAGAGTGACATTCATACTGTCTGCTGGGTGAGGAGAGTCCCATCTACTTCCGAGATCTCTTAACCTGTCAAGTTTCATCAAAATCTTGAGATGTCTGCCAAAGCCCTTCAGAAGTGATGAGGAATGTTCACCTTACCGATACCTGTCTCTTTTCCTGGCTTCTCGTCTGGAGTTGTTTTCCTGCTCCTCAGCTGCAAACGTGAAAGCTGCCCCTGTCTGTCCCCACAGACCCTCGCCGGCTCTGGGGCGGCTGCGCAGGGTGCTCCAGTCAGAGCGGTGGCTTTTGCTTGCTCAGATGCTGGCTCTCTCACTCAGAAGAGGACAGGCAGCGATGCACCAGAGCCTATTTCTGAGCTCCTGGTCCCTCCAAGTGAAGGACAGGGATGCATCCCCTGCCTGGGTCCGGGAGGCCGTTTGAGCTGAGCTGCCTTCTTCCCGATCCCTGGAGCTCCGTGGGAGGCCAAAGGAGAAAACCTTTGCTGTAGGCAAGGAGAACCAGTGACTCCGCGGCTCTTGGGTGGGAGCGATGGCTGGAGCCCA